CTTTCGGCGGAATGATGGTCACGGTCTAGGGCATATCTGTTCGTTCAGCTCACTCTGGACCGTTTTAAAAATAGATTAAATTAAATAAGAAATCAAAGCAGTCATGTCCAAAAAAAATCTAATTCCAAATATGCCAAAATTTTTCGAAGTATTCATGGTAGTAATTGGAATACCCAATATGTTTGCTAACTCAAATCTAGCCTTTTTCCAGCAACCATTGGCTTTCCGCATGACTATCGATACCATGCGGCACTGCTGCGCTGGCCCAGCGATATGAGGGGGTGACTATCGATAAGCAAGAGGCATCGATTTGCTCACATTTCTTGGGTCTTTTAGCGTGAAAAAAACGCCTAAATAAACGAATCGGCAGCGTGTCAGGCCAGAAAGTGCAACCAACGGATCGCCGTTCGCGCCGCAGTCGAGGATTGGAGCCGTCGAAGGCGCCGAAAAAACGTCGCAGCAGTCGCCAGCCGTCGCAACGGAGTGTTTACTGGGCGAGGGGTGCAGAGGAGGAGGTGGTGCCTGTGTATGTGTATGTGTGCGCCAGTGAGTGGGCAGAGGCAGCGACAGAGGAGCATCAGCGGATGTAGCTCGTTGCCCGGACCCCGCAGTGGACACCACGAAAAGTGAGCGTAAACGTAGGCAGGCCAACTTGCAGGCACAAAGAAAATAAACACTGGAAACCGAAGACGAGGCCTTCTGGGACTGGAACAGAACTGCTCAACAGCCGCAGACGCGTCGGTGACCGCACCCTAATGTCAAATAGCCAAGCGAATGCCGGCAACAGCGGTAGCGCGACATCGGATGAACCGACCCAGCACCACCCCCCCTTGGCGGCCGCCCCTGCAAATGCATCCTGCCCAGCCGCGACGCCGGCGTCGCAGTCGACGCAGCAGCCCCCGCACATAGTTGGTGCCTCAACAGCTGATGCTGGCAGCGGCGTCGCGGTCGGCGTCGGCGTCTCTGTTGTCGTCGGCAGCGAGGGCGTTAATCTGGACTCGTCGCCGCGCGAGTCCGGGGACGATTCCGAGGACGAGAGCGAGATCCTGGAGGAGTCGCCATGCGGACGTTGGCTGAAGAGGCGCGAAGAAGTTGACCAACGTGATGTGCCCGGAATCGACTGCGTCCATCTGGCCATGGACACCGAGGAGGGCGTGGAGGTCGTGTGGAATGAGGTGCAATATGCCAGTCTCCAGGAGCTGAAGTCGCAGGAGGAGAAGATGCGGCAGGTGTTCGATAATCTGCTGCAGCTGGACCACCAGAACATCGTCAAGTTCCACCGTTACTGGACGGACACGCAGCAGGCCGAGCGGCCTCGAGTGGTCTTCATCACCGAGTACATGTCGAGTGGGTCGCTGAAACAGTTCCTCAAGCGCACGAAGCGCAACGCCAAGCGGTTACCGCTGGAGTCGTGGCGTCGATGGTGCACCCAGATCCTGTCCGCGCTCAGTTATTTGCATTCCTGCTCGCCGCCCATCATCCACGGCAACTTAACCTGTGATAGCATCTTCATCCAGCACAACGGCCTGGTCAAGATCGGCTCGGTGGTCCCGGATGCGGTCCACTACAGCGTTCGGAGGGGACGGGAGCGGGAAAGGGAACGCGAACGGGGGGCCCACTACTTCCAGGCGCCCGAGTACGGAGCCGCCGACCAGTTGACCGCAGCCCTCGACATCTACGCCTTCGGGATGTGTGCCCTGGAGATGGCCGCCCTGGAGATCCAGCCCAGCAATAGCGAGTCGACTGCCATCAACGAGGAGACCATCCAGCGCACAATCTTCAGCCTGGAGAACGATCTGCAGCGCGACCTGATACGAAAGTGTCTCAATCCGCAGCCGCAGGACCGGCCAAGCGCCAATGATCTGCTTTTTCACCCACTGCTCTTCGAGGTGAGTAAACAGGCAAACCAATCATAATGTTCTCAATTGATGTCCCGCATGACAATTACTTTGTTAAGTAGACCTTGTAATCTAATTGGTGGATCCATCTTGCGGAATTTAAATTCAGCTTTAAGTTGTTTTCTTAGTCAAGTTTCTTTTTGTTTTCCTAAAAACATACATTAATTAAAAAACGTCGAACTATCTGAAAATGTGTAGACATTTTACCGCCCATAACTTATACTTGCAAAGGTCTTTACATAAACATTAGCCCCATCTTCAAAATGAGAATATTGTATTTCTATATTAACATGCAGCTCACACCAAAAAAGTCATAAAAGGAGATTTATATTTTAACGGCCAGGCCACAGAAAAAAAGCAAGACAGCTACGCAGATCGGACGGTTACTAGTTAAGAAATAAGCTAGTACTGGACTCGCCGTATTATTCAAGTGGATCCTAAAAGTTAACAAAGGGAAGCGGATTTATAACTGACCCCTTTTCATATTTTGACAGCTGTATTATTTAATTAAACTTTAAAAAAGTCGCTCTTTGGGTTATAACAACTTTTTCCCCTTTAATACAGTCAAAAAACAGACCTTTTAAAAGTTTATCATTCATTTATACAAAATATTCTTAGCAAGCTAAACTAATCAATGCTTATATTAAAAAAAGACAAGTGCACAGAATACCAGACTACATCATACGTTTAAATTTTTTTATACCACTCGCACTCACAGATACTTTTTGTACTACAAATTCTTTTAATACAAATAATATCGAAATCGATCATTTATCCAATGAGCTTAAACGTTAAAAATAAAGGGAAAACATATTTGGCACTGATGTATGGATGTGTCTTTGGAGATGTTAAAAAGTAAAAATAAAAAGCTATTTAAAAAGCTATTAAAAATTATTTTAAAAATAATGAAACCTATGTATTAGTACCTATATTTCCCCCCCTAAAAAAATAATAACAAGCTCGTCAATTAGAAAAATGTTTTGATAGATAAGATATGATCGCGTGTCCAATTACATCTTAATCGTCGCCCTTGGAATTTAATACCAAAGTATACAATGATATTTTTTTTTTCAAAAACACCTGACTAAATGTAATCCCCTAAACAAATGAAGTAGGTAATAATATCATTTGTTGCTCCCGTAGGTGCACTCCCTCAAACTGCTGACTGCCCATTGTCTGGTCTTCTCGCCCGCCAACCGCACCATGTTCTCGGAAACCGCCTTCGACGGCCTGATGCAGCGCTACTACCAGCCGGACGTGGTTATGGCACAGCTCCGGCTGGCTGGTGGGCAGGAACGGCAATACCGACTGGCAGACGTTTCGGGGGCCGACAAACTGGAAAAGTTCGTCGAGGACGTAAAGTACGGTGTGTACCCGCTAATTACGTACAGCGGCAAGAAGCCGCCCAATTTCCGCTCACGGGCCGCCTCGCCCGAGCGGGCTGACTCCGTGAAATCGGCCACGCCAGAGCCGGTGGACACGGAGTCGCGGCGCATCGTTAACATGATGTGCAGCGTAAAGATCAAGGAGGATAGCAATGACATAACCATGACAATACTGCTGCGCATGGACGACAAAATGAACCGCCAACTGACATGCCAGGTGAACGAGAACGATACGGCGGCGGATCTGACCAGCGAACTGGTGCGCTTGGGCTTCGTCCACCTAGACGACCAGGACAAGATCCAGGTGCTGCTGGAGGAGACGCTGAAAGCGGGCGTTATGAGCGACGGTGCCGGGGCAGAGAGCTCCGGGGTGGGGGTAACAACCACGGCAACCATGGCAGCCTTGGAGCAGCTGGAGCGCAACTGGTCTATATCCTCCGACGCAGACCAGCAGGGCACTGCCGTGATGTATGTGCCGCAGGGGCAGCAGCACACCGATGTGGACGTCGATGTGGAACAGTCGGGCACGACGAGCAATTGAAAGTATCAGCTTAGTATTCAGGGCAGGCCGACGCGTATTGTTTTTATTATATTGGGAAATTACACATTACGATTTTATTACTACTATTATTTGTTATTTTTATATATATACCTATATATATGTATATGTATGTATGTATTTGAAATAATATTTATGTATGTATGTACCATAAACGATGTTGAACCAGGCTTCCAAGCTACAGAATTCGATGAAATAGGACACACCACACACGGGTGGGTCGACTGGCATGAACACGATAAAACGAAAAATCTTAGGAACAGACTATTATCTGAAGTCATTTAACGGCAATTGGGGTCCTAGAAACTTTAAATATGAAATTAACTGTGTGTTTCGATAATATAGAAAGCCCGAAAACGTAGCCAGAAGAAGTAGCAGATATTTTACGGTTAAACTCGCCTGAAATAAATTGTTAGGCATACAGTTAAGTTGGCGAAATTAAGCACTATTAATTTGACCGTACTCTCCGGACCCTTCTCATAATTGAAGTATCGATCCACCTTTAAAACCCTTTTAAAAACACGCAGCTAACGAGCTTACAAAAATCAAGCATTCGCTTAGCATAACTCTGGAACGAGCACGAATGGAATTCGCAGCTCCCAAGGCTAGATAAAAGTTTCGAATAAATCCAGACACTCAGATTTTGAATAAAAAAACATCTGGGCGCCAATACACAGATAATTTTTTCTAGGAATTTATCAAATTTGATAAATTAGCCATGCCGTGACGAGAACAGAACCTAAAACTGCAGTGGAATGTATTTAAATGTATTACAAATATAAACAAATACGCAAGGCCACGAAAAATAATAAATAAATTATTTAACTAAAAACTATATAAACACAAGCAGAGCATGCAACAGAAATAATACACAACAGACATAGCTACACTATTATTAAATAAATAAAGATGGCAACCAGCTGATTAATTATAAAGTCTTTTTCCTTTATTTTTGCTAGTCACAATGGTTAGATTTATTTTGTTCAGGTTTGCTTATTTTGTTGATTACGTGTGATTCCGACAGATTAGCTTTACCTTTAATCATACAAAAATTACAAATAAAGTAGGGCAGATTTTTCAGTATCCTGAAGTCAGTATCTCAATATCATGTTAGGTGGAAAAGTACTTCTATCATTCGGTTAAAATAAGACTCAGTGATTGTAACTAATATTCCAAAACATGTTACATATTTTATTTTGATTTGAAAAATTAATAATGAATATCTATTTTAGCTTCATCATTGAGTAATACCCCTTTCTTGGGTAGGACCCCTTCGCATTTCATCACCGTTTATTTTTACGGAAAGTAAGCTTAAGCACACGCCTGGATAGTAGCTTCGGCCTCTTTGGGCTCCGGAGTGGCCAGCTTAATGCGCTTGCACTGTCTCTCCTCCTGCTCTTCATCGCTGAAACCATCTGCTGGTTCGGCGTCCGCAGACTCCTTTTCGGGCTGCTCCTTATCATCACCCAACGCTGGCACCACTCGAATTGGTTGCTCCTGCTCATAGAGATCCAACAGCTTGTTGCCTTCATACAGGACAAACGGCAAGGTGGCTCGCTGGTAGTAGTCTGGCATGAGCTCCAGGTTGTTAATCACAGTATCCAGCATATGTGACTTTTCGCACCATATGCCCGGGGCATCATTTCGAACCGGATTTATGTGCACATGGAGGTGATAGAAGGATGGCTGGTAGTGGAAGTACATGCGCAGCTGGTTGGGATTAATGCCGTAGCGCTTGGAGATTGCGTCCTTTGACGACTGGCGCAGGTTTCGCAACAGATCAAGATGGCTTCCGTTCAAGTCCCGCAGCGATTTGATGTCATGCTTGTGAACAATGCCCAGCAGGTAGAGGGTTTCAATATTGCGACCGTCCCATTTGAGGTCGGGCAGCAGTATAAATCCAGTCTCCGGATCCTTGTCCTCAAACACGATACGTTCCTTCTCCTGCTTGTGCTCGAGTATGTTATAGACCCACTCAAGGGAAAACTGGCTGGAGGTGAGATATTGAAGCGTTATCCTTTGGTACAGATCAGGGGTCTCCCGAATGAGGTACTTCTGGCATACGGAATATTTTTCGATGTGCTTCTCGGTGGCGGGATAAATGACAGTGCACTTAACACCTGTAATGTGGAAGATTGTTATAAATATTTCACTTTAATAGTATGGTTTGTTAGTTGAATACTTGCCGCATAGATCTCGGCTGGGCACAACTTGATAACTGCCGTAGATATTATTGACAAACTCAGTGTCAACTTTCAGATCCGCGCTAAAATAACTAGGTTTCTTTGGAGACTCCGACTCCTGTGATGGCGACTCCGTGGCCACTTCGCTTTCCCGGTAAGCTGCAGGACATGGTGTTTATAATACCTAGATTATTATTATCATTTATTAGTTTTCTTTTTTCTTACCATTTTTCTCGAGAACAACAATGGCATCGTCAGCTGGGTCATCAAATGTACCGAGGAGGGATATACTTTTCCTCACGGTGTTGTTCGTCAGTATCCGTTTTAGCCGGAACTTGGACAAGTCGTACGACGGCGACTTTACCTCTGAGCTTTCAACTGGTTCAGTCATTTTTATTATTATTTAATTAATGAAAAGTTGAAAATTATATTCTTGCAAGGAAAAAAACAGCGATATGTGGAGGCTTTATTTGTCCGAATATATCGGTTCCTATCGTTTTTCGATAACCGGAGTTATTTGTATCGAATCTTCTTAATGGAGACTCAAACCAAGGAGGAGAACTTTGGTGAATCGGTAATACCGGGTTATCTTTGAAATTATTCGTACATTTTTAACAATTCAAAAAAACCGGAATATGTAGAAAATATTTTCTACCTCACTTTCATCGTAACATTTGATAGTCAACAGGTCGTTGTTAAATCCTCATTTATTGTGTACAAGCCATTAAATTACTATTAATGAACTTTAGAATATGTATTGTATCTGTATAAACGACTGCATCGCAACACCAAGTGCTCGCCAAACATGTTCAGAACATTCATAATCATTTTGAGCTTAACACTAACACACATTTTGCACTTACACCTAATGCCGATGTACACAAACGCATGGATATTAAAATGGTTCGCCGGGTGCAGCGCTAACTACACAACAACGCCTTTGGAGGGCTTGGCCCCCAGTATGTCCGACAGCTTTTGCTGATAGGAAGCCAAGAGGTTGGCGTCTGTTATGCCACAGGACTTGCAGGACAGTTGCAGGGCATTGAGCAACTGCATCTCTGAAAACTGAGTGCCACGTTCCAGCAGCGCATTGAGTATTTCCTGTGGGTAAACGAGCAGATATGTAGAACGTAAATTGCCGAAATAAATAATAATCTTGCTTACATCTGGCTCCATGCAAAGCAATTCGTAGAAGTGTTTGGCCTGATCCAAAGCCACTTCCCTGGAGGCAGTTATGTTACTCAGCGTCTGCTGCAGGGCGATCGAGTTCCTGCACATGCGTTGGACTGTTATTTGATCTATGTGCTCCAGATAGTTGGAGGCCTGAATAAGAATGCGCGACGCTAAGTGCGCCAGTCCCTCAAAAATATACTAAAGGAAATAACAAGGTTAAAACTTGGTAAAATCGGGGAGATAATATTATCCTACCCTGGTCTTCCTTGGATGTAAAGTAGCACTAAACGCCTCATCCATCTCGGACAGCCGTTTAGTCAGCACTTGCACCTGACGATCAGGCTCCAGGATGTCATCCTTTGAGCCTACATAGCTGTTGGTCCTGACACTCGACTTCGAGCGTAGGTAGTGGAAGCATTGTACGCGCACCTCCAGATGCAGCACCAGCAGACAGGTGTTCGCCAGCTCATCGAACTCCAAGGCCAGGTTGGTCATCACCTTGATCGTGCCATCCTTTACGGCGATGTCGGCGCTGCACTCAGCAGATACAGCATTCAGTCCGTTTACCAAAGGCCGGCGCAAATCGTTGGCAAACTCAGAGACGCGACACGAGAACCACTCCATGCTCTCCTGCAGTATGGCCAGCTCCTTAAGCACACTGATTTCGACCAGAATCTCCTGCTGGGTGATACCGCCCTCACCCAAATTACTGGTCAGCATCTCAGCCTCCCGAATGTTGCGCTGCTGCACCTGCAACGGACTTTCCTCCTCCGACGGCTCGAAGCTTCCACGATGAAGCTTTCGGTTATGACGCGATTTCTGACTGGAGGTCTTCAGGTCTGTCCAATTGGGGAGCGTTCTAAACGTTAAAAATACAATATTTATAGTTCTTAAGAAAAATGTACTCTGGAAATTCAAAACTTACTTTAGAAATCGGCTTATATCTTCATCTTTTAGCCAGGCCACACTGTAAATCCTTTTGTCCTCCGAATCTGGCTGCACGATTCCGCGGTAGGCGGCCTGGCAGATTTCTCGATAGGCCTTCAGCAGAGCACACACCATCTTAAGAAGGTCTTCAGAGTAGCACGGCAGGTCTTGAATAAGGTTCTTAGTCTCCATCAGTCTCCGCTCGACCATCACAGTAGACTGCAACAAAGGCCTACTCAGGTTGAGAGCCTTTATTTCTTCGGGACTTATAATCGTGCGCCACGCATCTTGATTCTTCGACAGTGACTCGATCGTCAGCTGCAGGTTGCGGTTGTGCCCCTTGGATAGGAATGTGTCCTTAATATAGTTGTCTAAAAAGTCATGTAGACTACAGGGTTGCCTGAAAGTGCGAGAAAGTGTGAAAATTTTGTAACCAGCCACTAGGACTATTTTCCTACCCTGGCTTGCACTTCATAAAGTTTTCTATCTCCTTGATATATCCCATTAGAGGTAGATAGACTTTGGTTATGATATTTTGATCGGGCGTACAGATCAGTATCTTCTCGCGTTGCTTCTTCTCGTGAGGGAAGAGGCCGCTGGTGGAGCCCTTGCCACTTCCGCCGAGTTGGGCGCCCATATTATCGTCCACGGAGGCATCCGAGGCATTGCGACGATGCTCCTTGAAGGAGTCGCTATTGCTGCTGCTTCCAACATGCGAGGACTTGTCGAACTTGAACATTGAGCGCTTGGTGCTGGTTAGAAGGAGCATTGTCATTAGTTATTAGGGACCTGGTAACTATCCGCCTACCTTGGCACCTTGCGCCTTAGGAAATAGGAATTTATGTTGCTGGTGGGCTCTGCAAAACCCGTCTGGGCACTTTCATCCGAGGCAGCATTTTGTATATCCAAGTAGTCGGTGAGCAGCAGTTGCAACTTAAAATGATGTATCCAGTTATTTGAGAGTCATTAGAGGGATTCGATTCAATACTAACCACTGACTGGGCCTGGGCCCAAAAGTCCGTCAGATCGTAGGGCTGTGGTCCAACCACCGAGTACTTCTGGCCCACCGACAAATAGTTCTTTAGCAGTAAGGTGTGCGTCTTGGCGATGGCCTTAAACTGCTTGAAAATTATCTCCAGGAGTGTGAGGAGGGGATTGGCCTCAGCCGTTGCTCCACTCAAAGATAGTTGATGCGTCGTGTGCCGCACTACATTGAGCAACTCCGTTTGTATTTGGACGCGCAGCGTCTCCAGGGAGTCGGGCACCTTGTGCAGCATTCCAAACGACTCCACAATGATGGCAACAAAGTAGCTCATGCTCAGCTCCGGGTAAATGAGATCTGCGTCTTCAATAACCTCGGTCTTGTCCAAATCAAAGCTCTGGGCCATTTCGGCCAGTGCTTTGCGCACGCGAGCATTGGCCTCAATGCGATCCGTGGAGCGGCGAGCACCTATTCCCCGAGTGAAACTGGAATTTAACCGACTGGAGTTGCTGCGCTGAAACGAGGAAAGGGCCTCGTTGGCCGAGTTGGTGTACACCTGTGTGACCAGTTCCTCGTGCAGGCGTTGGTATAGCTGTTGGCGACGGGTTTGCAGGTCAGTTCGCAGATCAGACAAGCCCTCGACGGCCTGCAAGGGTCCATTTAAAGTGGCCAGTGCATCGGTCAAGGCCTTGCTGGCATGCAGGTACTGGCGCTTGGCGGTGTAACCTACCACCCGCTGAGGCACTTTGCGCAGCTCCTGACTGAAAGGGCATTGAGAATTTAAGGCGGCTCTTATGATTCAGAAAGGCAAAGGCACTTACATTTGCTCCAGCATCTCCAGCACGTACTTGTGCTGCACTGCATCCATCCACATCTTCCTGAGCTCATCGCGCCTGCACTGGAGCAGACGCTTGCAGACTCCGAGGTTCTCCTTGACGGCATGGATCCGCTCACGGCTGGCAGTCACCTCCGAGGACACCTGGCTGAACAGGGGCAGGACTTGGGTGAGTTGCTGGTCGTGGCGCGATACCAGCTCGTTTAGTCGCAGATCCGAGCGCTTGAACTCCTGCTCGATCTTCTGCTTCTCCTTCTGGCGCTCCTCGGTGGTCTCGCTGAATCCCAGAGACTTGATGACATTGACCAGGAAGCCACATCCTGCGGACTGCAAAGGGAAGCCAGCCACCAGGCATTACTCATTTTTAATCTAAGAAAAGTAATATCGCTAAACAAAAAGAGGGCGTGCGGCAGCAAAAACAACCAGATGGTGTCGTCATCACTTTGGACCCGCTCGCAGGCGGCGGCCCGAGAACCTCTTAGTAGGCGACAACAAAACACAAACAACAAATAACACGGTTTCCAGGTGGGTTTATTGATTGAGCAGGCTGTGCTGCGACTGGAACAACATTTTCAGCGACGGCTTGAAGTAATTTACCTCATCCTTGCCGTACTTCACTCCCCTCGGAGGCTTCGTGGGCGGGGGGGCGTCCATGTAGACGCTGTTGAAGGTGAAGAAGTGCTTGGCTGGTTGATGGGCGACAGGGCGGAGGCGGGGCACAGGTTAGCTCAGTATCAACATTATAGTACAGCAATTGCTTAAAATTTGTTGTTAAAATTATTTTGCACTTAAGCACCAGAGGACCGTCCGCGGAGTGTTGAAAATACCAAAAACTGCAGACGGTCAAACTATCGATAAGATTAGAGATGGACTCTTTCGTAGTGATGGGTGTGCTCACCTATCGCCGGTTAGATATTTTCCCGCGGAAATTTAAATTTATAGGTTTCAGTTTATGGAAAATTATTATACACAAACGGACTTGCGGACTCTCTCGATAAAACCAATTATTTTAAGAATACGTTTAGTCCCCAAAAACCTTTTTTCGATAGCTTGACAAGTCAACTGGCTTGCGTGTGAATAATTTCAAAAACAGATCAAAGCTCTTAAGCGGATTTTTCATTTTAACTTTATTGTGTAACGGTGTAGTTGCATCTACTTATCTGAGTGCCTTGGTCGACTTAATAGTCTTCACTAAATGTCAAGCTAAGCCAATGCGATAAAACAATTTAAATACTCGCTTCAAAAAACGCATGACGGCTACACTACAATAAAATATTCTTTGGTTTTCGAATTGCTTTTGGTTTTGATTGTTTACACATACATGTATGTAATCCGTGTGCATTTGTTTGTTATAAATATTCAAGATAAGCATCTTCTGTAGTGGTGCTTTTAACTTACACTAGTCAAACTTTGTATATGATTTCTTCACTAAAATAGCAACATTTGAGACTGTTCACAAAAATAATACAAATTTGCAAGAAGAAGAGTAGAGTTTGGAGTACAATTTGGGAGTTTTAGCGTTATTTTCTACGTGTTTAGGTACAGTTTACTATTCGGAGGTATTGCATAGATTGCTTG